TTTACTTTTTTTCGTAATACCGATTTTTCGGAATTTTAATTTTTCGAGCATTTCCTTTTTCGAAATTATTTTTTTCGTGATTTTTTTTCGAGATTTTCTTTTTCGAGGTTTTTTTTTTCGAGGTTTTCACACATTACCTAAAAATAGATATATACCGATACATTTACACATATGTATCTGCGTATATATCTATATCCTCATATATATTTCTATATCTACATATTACTATAGCTTCATATGTAATTCTGACTGGAAATAGCCTTATACCTGCATATATATTTCTTTACCTAAATACATATTTTCGTATCTACATATATATTTCTATGTCTACAAATAGATATATACCGGTACATTTACAGATATGTATCTGCTTATATATCTATATCTTCATATATATTTCTATATCTACATATTTTTATATGTGCATATATATTTTTATATCTACGTGTTACTGTCTCTACATATTACTATATTTTCATATATATTTCTCCCTAGAAATATATATATACCTGGATGTATATTTTCATTCACCTAAATACATATTTCCGTATCTACACATATATTTCTATGTCTAAAAAAAGGTATATACCAATACATTCACACATATGTATCTGCATATATATCTATATCTTCATATATATTTCTGTATCTACATATTTCTATATCTTCATATATATTTCTGCCTACAAATATATAAATATCTGCATATATATTCCTTTACCTAAATACATATTTCTACATCTACACGTATATTATGTTTTTCTATGTATATATATTAACCTATATCTGCATATGTATGAAATATCTACAAATAGAAATATGTAAATCTCTACACATATATGTTTTTCTGTGTATGCATATATCTATATCTATCTATCTATGTATATATATATATATCTAAAATATTTACATTTTTGAAATGAATATGTATATACGAGGAGTTTTGTTTTGTATTTACATATATAAGATATCTATATCGACGTCAATATGTAGACATCTGCATTTTTTTTTCGATCCATATATATGTATATATCGGTATATAAACTTATGAGTTCCAGATTATTAAAATGTTTCAGGATGATGAAGTTCCACTCCGATCAGCTAAAAATATTGTTCGTCGTTTACGAGCTGGTAGTGATCATCTTTCTCGTAATCAGTTTTTGTCTTCAATATGTTTCGAAGGTTTAAACGACGCAGAGTAAGTTAATAGATTCAAATTAATTTATTAATATTTTTTATCGAATATAAAGAATGATTGTCGACCATGCGGATGGGGCTGATGATAAAAATGATGAATCAGATAATCGTATGGTGCTGGACGAACATGATGTATTTGATGATCGTATGGTGTTAGAAGAAAATGATGACCAGCTAGAAAACTCTTCAATTGTCTATAGTGAGGCATTTGTTGATGCACCCGTGGATGGTTCATGTTTAAGCAGCAGTAATGATACAGACTCACAAGACAATGAAAATAATTCTGTAGCTGATGATGTTGCACAACGTCCACCTAGCACAAAAGAAATTGCAACCGCTCTTGCTTTATTCCGACATCGACACAATATGTCAAAGTCCTGTATAAACGATTTATGTGATTTGTTACGTTTATTGGGAGTGATTAATGTGCCATCTGATTTTCGTTCAATTGAGAAAGTTCTTATGAAAAATCAGGAGAATACTTTACAGGGTCAATGTTATATTGTTTGTTCACAATGTGGTAATAAAGGTACTAGTTTATCAAACTGTGAGAATGTTCAATGTAAGTCCAACAGTGGTTTCATGTCAACGCCTACAACATTATGCACATTTAAACTTTTTCCACAAATATCATCGATTCTTGAGCGACATAATACTGTTCCTGAATCAGATGGTACAATCTCTAGTATATCTGATATTCAAGGAGGCCAAGTATGTCGTAACATTCTCCTTCGTGAACGAATTGCTGACTCAAGTAAACAAACAGTGACTATGTTACTAAACAGCGATGGAATAGTCTTGAAGAAGTTCAGCCGTTCGATTTGGGTTACTTGTATGGTGATTAATGAATTACCTCGTGCAATACGATTTGATATTCGTAATGTTATAATTTGTTCTATTTCTATGGGTGGAAATAAACCTAAAAAAGATCAATTTCAAAGTTTTATAAAAGATTGGGTGATAGAACTGCAACAGTTGGAGCTAGGTTTTTATGTATCACCTCCAAATTTAAATGGAAAATTTATCAAAGTATATGCTTTCTTAATTGCAGCAGCTCTTGACAAACCGGCACAGGCATTGTTGATGAATCTCAATGATCCAACCGGTTACTACAGTTGTCCTCGCTGCACAATTAAAGGTAATTTATGAAACTTCTTATGATTACATAAAATATGTGGCATACGATTGTCATACTATAAATTCTGAGTATGACTCTCCCATTGAATAAATTCTGCAGTTATATAAGGATATCTTAAGACCTCCCTCGAAACAAGTCAATTTTCGTCAAAAAATTGGAAATTGAGATAAATGTATGGAAAGATAGCCCATCTTCAGATCTTTCAGAAATGATATGATATTTTGCCAACAATTCTTTTTCGATTAGAAATTTGGATAATTTCTGCAATTAACACCTTAAAAAGCATAGTTTTTAAAAAAATATTTTTCGTTTTTCAGCTTGTGCTTTTTTGATCTCAAGATCAAAAATTTTCTCTCCAGACTCATTCTATATATGTAATTTTCCTTCGTTTGTAAGAGCGTGCCAAGGTGCGTAGCATGGCAGTCTCTTTTTTTAATTAAGTTTTTTTCAAATATATGTGCAAACACTAATATAAATTAACGTCTATTCTTACAGAGTTTCTCAGACTTTCAACTTATTACTCTTTTTTTTTCAAATAAAAAGTAAGAACTTTAAAAAAAGGATTCTGTCATACGTTGCGTTTTGACATGCTCTTTCAAAAAAAAATTCAATAAATAGAATGAGTCTTAGTAGAGAATTTTCGATCCTCAAATGAGCTATCTAGACCATTGTTTGGTGAATATCTTGATTAAACTTTATACTGTAGGGCTGAAACTTTTACTATAGCTTCTCCACTAGAGCTCCAACAAATCCTGAAAATTGCCTGCTATTTGAATGTATCTAGGCTGCCATCGATTTTGGGGGACGAAGCCTTAATGACAGCAAGATTGATCTCAGTTTTAGAACAGTGCAACACTCCTTACATCTAATATATTTGCCTATTTACACATGTGTAGATAATCTTTATTTTGCTTTTGTGTTTTAGGAATCTCGGTAGCAACTAGAAAAGGTACTACACGTGTTTTTATTAGAAAAAAAAACGAAAATAATCAGAATCGAAGTAATCAGCTGTATGATGAACAAATGTTTCAATTATTACAAGTAAATAAACTTTTTCCTATAGATATGAAAAAAAGCATTTCTTGTTTGATTAGAGAAAATCAAAGAAGAAACCAAATGATATAGATCCTGCTTGTGGTCAGCGGGGTCCTTGTCTTTTGCGAGATCTATCATATTTTAATATTGGTCCATCATTTGCTTCAGATTCACTCCATAATATGTATTCAGGAACATTTGTAAGGACTCATACATCTATATACATACATATGCCTCCCAATTTGTTACTTTTATCTGATAGAAACGTTTACTAGAAATTTGGTTTACGAGTCGTGGTAATTCATATTCAATTAATAAAGATTTACAATTGATTGAAGCTAAATTGGACTCGATTCGATATCCTTCCACCACATACCATTTACCATCGCAGCTTAGATTTTATCCAATATTCAAAGGAAACGAATACAGACTAACATTGTTGTTTGGTTATCAGTAAGTTATTCAATCTTTAATACGTGTAATGATTTTCTGTGTCCGATGAAACTAGTACACCTATAGTATATTAACTACAGAATTTTTCGGGTAAATTTTTTTTCGAATATCTCTCTTTAGAAAAAGTCTTCAGAGCAAAGACATTAAGTATTGTATAGCTTACAGCCTTACCATTCCATAGTCAGGAACAAGATTCATAGATAATTATCAGTTCAATTCTACCATAAATATTGACTGTGTCATGGATATTGCGAATAGAGAAAAATGAGAAGGTGTAAGGAAAGTGTTCTGAGCTCTGAAAAAGTGAGCATATACAATTTTTCAAAAGTGACAATGTGTCGACGATTGCGTTTTATGGTAGAATCTTTTTTGATAAAAAAAAGCTGTTAGCGCAATCCCTTGCGAGATTAAAAATCTGAAACACGATGTAGCTACTGTTGCCAATCTTCTAAAAACTGTTCTTTTTTATGCATGTTGGGGTACATTTCTTCATCGTGGCTTACTTTACATTATCGAGCTGGAACAGGATAATACTCCCTGTATGCTTTAATCATATGGTAATTCTGTATTATCTCTGATATTTCCTTGAAGTCTTCTATCACAGTCTAGGATGAGTCCAGGAGTCTGTCTGTTACGGTCTTTTGATGAGTCCAACGCTCTATCTGTCATGGCCTATGGAGAGGAGGAAGAAGAGGATTACAAATTTCTACCCCTAAATACTTCAACACTCCTTTCAGACCGTGTTTCACAAAATGCGATTTGGTCTGAGAAAAAAACAAAGATTTTTCTGAAAGTGAAAGTGTACACATCACTGTTATGCACAGAGGCTCGTCCAAGTGAAGAAAGACACAGCTTTTTATTTATATATAGATTTTTCAAATCAATTTTACCCACACGATATTTTAACCATTTGAAGCTTTTGGCATTTGCTATGAACTTAGCAGAATCATCGATTCTACATCAAGATACTATTGGAACAATCGGCATTTTACTTGATGAGTTCGATCGTTTATTCTCATTATTGTATTCAGTAAGTACATAACCTGGAGCATATATTCACATCATTGAAAAGACTAATATATAGTTCACATTAGAATATTTCTTCTCAACTATATCTCGCATAGAAACTGATCCAATTGAGCTTGAGATGATACTCAAGTGATCTTATAAGATTTTCAGCTGAATTAGTTTATTTCAATGCGTTTTAATCTAAATTGAATTTCGAATGGTCATATGATATAAGATTTATATATATATATATATGACTTCTATTTACACATAATAGTTTATTGCGAATCCCCAAAAACCTTATAGCATTGCTACTATTTATTCAAAGCATCTGTGTTGCTAGGGAATCTAAGAAACTGAACAAACATCAAAATTACGGATGTTTTTCAAATTACTTACATGAAATACTGTTGAATAACCGCTGTGGTCATGTCCAATTTATTTTTCAGGCTTTTTAATATTATAGTTGATTAAAGGTTTCTCAAAGTGTATGCTGCCTCAAGAGAATAAATACCGTTTGTAAACGGTCTACCAAGCAAAGGCGAAAAGAAGAAATGAAGTGTTCACTGTTTTTCTGATGATGTGCCTTCTTTTCTTTTGTTGCTATAAAAATAGCAACGGCCAACCCTTAATATAGTAATGCACTTATGTGGTAAAAGTCTATGCTTTTTTTGTTTAAACTTTTGTTTCCTCATTTGACACTGAGATGCCGATTAGAAAATATATGCATCCCAGAGATGTTTGTTACCACTTCAAACCTTGACTGCTAGTCAAAGATAATGAGAAGATAAAGCGTCTAGGCTATAGATACAACACAACTACAGACTACTCCTACCGTGGCACTGCCATCCTATAATGAACTTAAAAGGAGTACTCACTGTAGTGATATCGCGGCTTCCGTTGAAAAACCAATTCGAAATCTACTCATAAGGGCACCAAAATGTCCTGGTCACCGTTCTATGAGATTAGTTTTGCTGCAAAGTATAACAGTTAGAAGCACTAAAAACAAACCCTCTATCATCTTATACAACTTTGCAAGACCTCAACTAGATGAATTTTTGGTGCTTGAATTCGTGGATGTTGCGGTGAAAACCTGGAGAAACGACAGCGTTTCCAGCTGGACAACGTTGAACAATTTTAGGAAGCTTGGAAAAAACCTTATGCTTATTTTCGGTTGTTGGTTTCGCTAAGTTTCGTTTGGCTGAGGCTGAAACCAATCGCACTGCATTTTGTTAGGATATTCCAAGAAAAGATTGGCAAAACCGCAACTATGTTATTAAAATATTTGACATGTAAAATCTAATCTTTAAAGAATCGGTCCTTCATGCGCTTCTATGGCCATCTTATGGTTGAACAACAACAGCAATACCAGCTCTTATAGGAAACCTCTGAACACTGTTGCTCTGATTGCTTTGATGACAAGTAACGTTATCAGCAATAGTACGGCTATACGTAGATTACTATGAAAATATCGATGCCTAACAAAATAGTTTCCAATTTGTTATTCTGCGCGGGTGACAATTTAGTCTTTCAGTAAATTGTGAATTTCTTAAAAGTATTTTTTTGTCAAGGCGAGATCAATGACATCTGTGGTTCACTCCATGGTACATGTGCCCGAATCACTCAAAAATTTTGGTCCTCTTCAGAACTACTCAACATTCAATTTTGAAAGTGTAATCGGTATGCTTCAAAAGTACATAGTTAATCGTTTTAATTAGATCAGCTACCTGATGCTCAATACTCTAGGTTCTTTTGTTCAATCTGTCAATGGTCCTAATTTAGTGATTTCTGAATTAATCAACAATATTAATATTCTTCAGGGTGCTACAGTGCAGCTTAATGATGTCAATTTCAATAATTCTATTAGATTATTCATATCTCGTATATTTTCTTCCAAACGGCAAGCACTGCCAAAGCTAACATCTAGAGCTGCACACAATTCAATTCGTCTGGGCCCAAAGATTGCATTATCCCACAATCATGTGGTGATGAATCATTTAAGAGCCGTCTACTCTCTACCTTTTGATATTCACGAAACATTGTGGAAAAATAAAGTGCGGTTCTCAGTTTATGATCCAAATTCTCTTGCTCAAAATTGCGATTCTTGCTTATTATTTAAAGGTGAAAATAATGAAATTAGTTGTGGTTTTATAGCGGCCATTGTATGTCATTCAATCCAAGAATATCGTCTGGTCATCAATAAGGTTTATATCAATCGTCAGGATTGTCTTACACTCAAGGGAAAACGTGTCATCAATCCATTCATTTTTTGGGGATATTCAACAGATCCTCCTGAATTAGTGGTAATATCTCCCGAACATATTATTGTGAAGCTTGCATATAAAAAGGAAAATGATTTATTTCATTTTTTTCAGTTTCCTAATACGATAGAAAGTACCTAAATAAAATATTTTTTATTCATATTCTACTGAGAAGAATAGTACTCTTGTTTTAAAATGTATAATCAAATGTTCTTCATCTGCAATTCTTTCTTCTCAAGAGCGATTTTCAACTG